TCTCTCTCTCTCTCTCTCTCTCTCTCTCTCCCTCGTTTCAGCTGGGAGTTAAACCTAGAGTCTTTTGTATGCTATACACTGTCAATTATCGAACCCATCTTTTCCTTTTTGTCTGACTTTTTTTGGTGGTGTTGGGTGCTGGGGATTGAACCTCACAGTACTTCTCCACTGAACTATATCTCTGCCCTTTTTTATTTATTTTTAAACATTTTGATATTTATTTATTAATTTATTTATTTAGAGACAGGGTCATGGTCTGTAGTTCACGCTGTCCTTGAGCTCACTGTGTAACCCAGGCTACCCTCAGCCTCCTCAGTGCTGGGATTACAGGCGTGCGCCACCATGCCCCGCCTCCCCTCCCCTTTTTAAAATTTTACTCTGAAACATGGTCTTACTAAGTTGCCAGGCTGGCCCTGTGATCCTCTTCCTCAGCCTCCAGAGTAGCTAGGATTACACATTGTGCCTCTGTGCTGAGCTTTGCATAACCTTTTATTCCCTGGTGACTTTGCCCTCTTCCCCTTGATCTTGAGATTCTCCAGCTGATCAAATTCTCCCTCTGTAGACACAGGGGAATGTCTGATAGATTGTATACTTAGGTTTGTTTTGTAAATCATTCGGTAAATGTTTATTAAGGGATTGGAACCTATAGTGATTGATTCAATTCCTCTGCTTATTGTCCTGAATAAACTTTTCTTCTTCCGTCTGCTCCCAAAGATGCATGCCTGGGCCTCACTTGGCAAGGTGATTACCTGAAACTCCTTGTTTAAGCTCACTATTAGCCAACTCTGCATTTTTGTCATGTTTTTCTTTGAATGTGGAATGAAAGTGTGTCTCCCCTTCTTTAAGGAATTTCAGGCATTAGCAGTGTAGTCAGAAGATGTGGATGGACTACTTGAAGAAAGATAAACTGTTCAGGTTTTTTTTTGAGTACTCAAGGGCCCAGGACTCAGCAGGGGGACTGCTCTTGTTTAGCCAGTCTGTCCCTGAGCAGGTTCTGGGAGGCTTAGAGCTGCTGCAGCCAGAGAAACTTATGTTGCCAGCTGGGTTTTTTAGTCCCCAGAGCCCGCTGTCCTCGATGTCCGGGCCGTTGGCAACCTGTTCCTTCCAGGCCTCTCCTCGACTTCCTGCCTCAGCGATCCTCCTTGCTTCGAACACTTCCTGATCATGTTTTCTTTTTAGCTATATTTTGCTTTCTCCTCTCTGCTACCCTCCCTTCTTCCTTTATTTTTCTCCTTCCTGTTTCCTGCTCCCTCCACCGTCGTTCCCTCTGCTGCTGTAGCCTCCTCTGTCCTCCCCCTGCATTCTGTTCTCCTTTCCTCCTCTGTCTCCCTCCCCACCCTCCCCTGTGCGCCCTCCTGTCTCTGCTCTCCCCTCTCTC